AAAAAGGCCTCATGGCGCTAATTGTAAGGTAGTTCTTTCCCACTGTGGCACTGCCTACTAAAGTATTAAAAAAAGTATGTTTCTCATAAATCCTTTGGGAATAGTCCACCATCCGACTAACTAAAATAATAGTTTCATTATAGGTGTTTTTGCTTGTTTGTTTGCACGCTCTGTTCTATCATGAATTTTAAAGATTGATTATGATGTAGTATGAGCTTATTTTTCATTTTAACGATTTTTTTTTACATTTTTTTGATTTACTGTAAGGCTTACGTCTCCCTTCATGATTGTAAGGCAGTCCTTTCCCACTGTGGCACTGCCTACTAAAGTATAAAAAAATTGTGTTTCTCATAGATCCTTTGGGAGTAGTCCACCATCCGACTAACTAAAATAATAGTTTCATTATAGGCGTTTTTGTTTGTTTGCATGCTTTAAATTGTTCTATCATGAATTTTAAAGATTGGTTATGATGTAAGGCTTACGCCTCCCTTCATGAAGGAAATATGCCTCTGTATTCTATTATGCCTTCTTAAACATTGCATATAAGTCCCATTGTATTTTATATTTTAACTCCCACTTGGTGAACCAATATCCCAATTCCCTACCACCCCCTCCCTCTTCATTTCTCCCTCATTCTCCCCCCTCATTTATATACACATACATTATTTTCTCTCTTCTTGCTTCTCTCTCTGTGAATTAAACCCACACAACTACTGAATGCTAAAAGCACAACCACGCCACTAGAAGCTATGGAAAAAGACAGTAGCCAAATAGGTCGATGGCGATGAAGAAGATTCCTAAATCCACTCGGTTAGCCCAAGTCTCTGAGTTTTAAATCTCAAATCTTTTTTCCACTTTTCAATATAAAATCTAACTGCAAACGTGGCAAAACCGTACCCGATTACTGGTTGACTTGGTCTTTCAAATAAAAGGTTTTAAGCATGTAACCAATCTGGCTTCCAAAACAGTTCCCGGTTTTCCCGAACCGACCAATCCAGTCCAGTCTGATTTTGACAATATAGGTCCTAGTGTTTTCTATACTTTCCCATCAATCTCCATAGCAGTGGTTGGCTTCCAAAGTAGATCTTCCAAGCATAAAACCATACTATTTCTCCACTACCTTCTATTTGTCATTATTCTTTATTGGATCACCTTATCCTAATAAAATCTCATGGTAATCATAACTTAAGACCTATATAGTTCGTGCAACATGGAATGTCTCCCTTATTCTTATAGAAAGAACCTACAACATTCTTTCCCTATTCATCATGCATTTTATTACCCATCGTCTCCATGATAATTCCATTAGCCACAAATAACCTCACTATACTTCCATTCAATTATTTTTTTTTTTCTCATTATTTACTTAGCAACTCTCATTTTTAAGATCTATGTAGTATAATAAACATTTATATTTTCAAAAAATTAAAGATTCCCAAGAAGCACAATTTCTTCAATTACATAACTTGTGGAACTAATTCATCTACCTCTCTAAGATCTCATTTCTATGAATCAAAACTATTATATTTTAATCCTCAATACACATAATCTACAACTGTACTCATCTTTTGACGAGATATCTTGTGAAAAGCTCAATCCTCATCTTCCAAGATGAGTGTACAAGTGTATAGGTTTCTCATAAGCTCCCAATAAGATTCTAAAATTCATGCCAAACAGTACAAGTAGCATTATAAGATTCCTCAAAGTTAACATAATATGGTGAAAACAAAAGTAAAAATGTTTCCTCGCATATCTCACTAATCTTTTGAAAACTGCAAACGTATATAATTGATTCTTTCAATTATTTCATTTGTGGCTACCACTATAATTCTTGATCTTTTAATGTGGCCAAATTATTTTCGTAAAACCAATTTTAGTCTCTTAGACCTTTCTAGTCAACTCTACAAGAGAAATGCCAATGCTTAAAGGATTGGAAAGCAGAAAAAAGTCTACGACATATTTAGCATCAGCTTAATTTCAAATGAAAGAAAGTTGTTGAATTTAATCTGATAACTATTTTCAAGCAAAATAGGCAAGTTAATTGCATATAGTATCTTCAAAGGTGAAATAATGTAAGACATGCCTATGATCCAAAATGGCACTTCGATTACAAATGACTAAAAATGTAAATAGCTGACGAGATCCAACTAGTTTAATAATACACCACATGTAAGATGAAGGAATTATTTTCTATCATACCGTATGGACAGGTGACCAGCGCTCGCTAGCAAGCTCATAGCCATTTGGATCATCACCAGGAGGATGAAGAATAGAAATACAAACCTTCCCGTCTGAATAAACTGCATATCATGTTTAAGTTCCAAATAAATACGCTAGAAAAAACAGAACAACAATAATGAAGGAACCAAAGCATTCTTATAGGTGAAAATATAAACCATTAGGATGCCACATCTCTGAGGTAAATCTCACTGTTGGAGGACTGTTCGGGTAATTTTGGGGGAAGCTCATAATAGCATTGAAGAAACCACCCTCACTGCATTTGAGATTTTAAAATAATAACGATTAGAAGATAAATTATGAAGCATCTTTCAAACCATAGAACTATAGTAACTATACAGGCAGAATCATCTACATTTTAAGACAGAACAGTCTAATCATTCTGCCACATATGCAACTAGATGAAAGGTCAACATGACAGCCATTTCTATCATAATACACTTCTTGAGTTATTATAGGGGAAGAGCCAGCATTTCATTTAATAAGTCTCTCTCTCTCTCTCTCTCTCTCTCTCTCATGGATTAATTAATGAACTTACAAATGGATTAACGCCCCAACCCCCGGCCCAAAAATCAAAGTTTACCTCATTTATCTTAGCTGCATGAAAACCTAAAATTGGATCTGTAATATACTTGAAGACTCCTTGTTGAAATTAAATCAAACCACTACAATAAGAAATCCTAACTTCACCATGAAGATAATACATTTTGGAGAGGATTCAAGAAGGAAAAACATAATCAGATGTTCATATTAGTTCATGTCTTATTTCATTTCTACAGTAGAAGGATGAAATATAGCTCAAAGAGTGAATAACGCTATGAACGTCCCAAAGACGGAGACAAACCTTTGCAAGATCATAGTTGCAAAGTTCTGATTCTGTGCGAGCCCATAAGGTCAACATTTAGATTTAAAAAAATGTAGTTGTTTCCTATATTTATCCAAATAACATAATATAATAAGAAAAAAGACTTTCTTCAAAGTGTTCTTAGATGTCTATGCAACTATTGTTGTTTATACTTGGCTATTTGCAAAGACAAAACATAAGACAGTGTCTAATCATGTTCTCAAAGATAAATTGCACATGTGTACAATGAATCTAATAAATATACTTACTACCATTATTTTGAGTTGTAGCTTTCTACTAGGGATAGAAATAAACATATATGATATATTCACACCTATAGCAATGTACACAATGAATGTTGTTCTAAAGGTCATTCCATGGAATAATTTTTAATAGCACATCATGCTGAGTTTTCTAATTACTCTTTTTTCCCGTCTTTTTGTTCAATTTTGTAATTTCAATACTCAATAGTGCTCAACTGTTCAAATGTCTTTACAACACATGAACCTTAACAATTTACTTTGGTTATATTGTACGTAAATGCCTTTGTAAAACAATGTTGTCCCTTTCATAGCATGGGATAGATTAACTGATTGAGGATTTTAACGTGCCTCAAGAATAAAAAACTATTCTTCAGAAACAAAACAATTTTAACAGGCCTCAAGTTCCATTTTGTTTCAATCTCAAACAGACTCTAAACAAGTTCTCTCCAAATTGAACAGTGCAATGTGAATTAATTTTTAAGTTTTAGTTTCTTGAACTCCTCAAGAAACAACTTCATCCATGAAATCCTCAATTACTACACAAAATGCCAATGAGCTTCAAGTCTTGATATATAATAACTAATTAATTTCTAGGAAAAATCCAAAAACTCCCACATAAAATTAAATATTACAATTTACAACAGTCATTATTTACTAAATTCACATTGGATTGATGACGATCGAGCACCTAATTTTCTTGTGTTTGACTAGAAACTCGAAATATAATAACAATGGGGATTGCAAACGCACACCCTTCTCAGGACAAACCAGAATCAACATACATCTAAGCAGATTTTGCAATTACTGCAATAATAGATACATACGTTATATATGAGATAAATTTCTGTAATCCAATATTTGCTCAAGATAATAAGTAGAGACGCTCACTAAAGTGTATCAGGTGGCCCAATAATTGTCACGCTCCATTCGAACAGGTTTTCTTCATCCAGCAAACCCGCTGAAAATCCATCCACTGGGTTTTTACACAGATCTGCAAAGAAAAAACATTAACGCCCAAAATTAACGAAAAATCCAAAAGGGATAAAACCCAGTTTCCAAAAACAATCCAAGAAAATAATGGTCTTGATTAATCGATACCTTTGAGCTGCTTTTGAAGGAGAAGGATAGCTTGAGACTGTGAAGCCATCAAGGAAAATATTCTGAAAGAGAAGATTCTAGCGACCGCGAGGTGGACGGGAGAGAGAGAGAGGGAGAGATTCGGGGATTGTATATTATGAGCAGTAATTATTAGGCGTGATTGTCAGAATTATTTATATATACAGAAGAAAGGTAAAAGTGGGGAACGAGATTCAGCTTTTTCTCTATCTCGACTTTACATTATTCATTCTCTCTACATTATTCATTTTATATATTACGACATTGCAGATGTAAGTGAAGTCCCCCACATTCACGATGGCAAGTTCGCTTTTTGGTTTTGTTTGATTTGGTTTTATAAAAAATTACTTTGTAAATTTGATAAAAATTGATAAAATATGAACTTCAAAAATTAACAAAGGTCGTGAAATTTATAAAATATATAATTGAAAATGAATTTTTTAAAAAAGAAATTGAGATGGATAAGTGAGTAGTATAGGTAGATTCCAAGAAAATGTATTTGCAAAAAGAAAAATGCATAATCCATAAATATACTCTCTTAAAATGGAAACTTTCGGATTACTGTTTGGTACTATTCATAAACTGGTTTTTATATATGTATCTGCCCATAAAGTGGTTTTTCTCACTCTCTCTCCACACACGTTCACACTCTTGAAGACGCCACTCTATTCCTTTACCACCTCGTTGTGGTCGCTACCACCCCAAAGCCTAAACCAAAACATCTTTGATGCTCTCTCGAGCCTAGACTTTGTACGACAACTGAACCAAAATTTCGTCTACATGCTTCTAGAATCATTTTTAAATTCTATTTTTTGCAGGCCCACAACTTTTCATGCATATGGAAGTCGGCGTTTTTCAGAGATTCTATTGAGTTCTGTGTAGTGAACGAAACCATTGAGCTATTTTCACTAAAACTTAACGCGATTATTTGGTTTTAATCGATATAGAGATATAGTAGGTTAAACCAATTAATTAGGGTTAATTTCGCGAGAGAGGTGATTAACTAAAATTGAAAA